GCTTAGAGAGGGCTGAAAGCCCTATGAAGCGGTATATAAGTCTAACTATTGCTATTTGCTAAAACGGAGATGGGCGTGGCCAGAGCGTGACATATCCGGCCCGCGAGGCTGCGAGTTTTGACACCCCCTGCTCTAACTCTTCCCAAGATAATTGCTTTTTTCGGTGAATTTTGCCACGGCCAAAAAATAAGCGGGATGCAGTTTTGTGATTTTGCTTGTCGAGGGATGGGAGCGTTTTCTTCGCAGCGTCTGTCTCTTTCTAACAATGTCTGTGTGTGTGTGTTTTTTAATTTTTAGGAAATTTGGAGGAAACTCCGTCCACGAGAGGGATGACATGTAATGGCCCCATTTTGGAGGATCCCGCGCCAGACATGGCTCAGTTGGCTTCCAGGCAAGAAACTTTTGCCGGTTTCCCAAGTCGCTGCGCCGTTTCTTCCTCGGACCTAGCCCAGGCCGGCTTCTTTTACACGGGAGAAGGAGACCAAGTCCGATGCTTTAGCTGTCTTGCGACCCTCGAAGGATGGGAAGAGGGGGACTCGGTGGTTGGAAAGCACAAAATCGTCTCTCCCAACTGCCACTTTATCAACGGCGCCGACTTCGAAGAGGGGCGTCCGCTTTCCGGGCTGCCAAATGGACCCCCTGGAAGAGAAGCCCCCACTTCCGTCCTGCCCGATTCCGATCTTTCTGATTTCGAGGCCGATTACTTGTTGAGAACCAGGCAAGTGGTGGATCTCTCGGGATCTCCGTATCCCCAAAACCCGGCCATGTGCAACGAAGAGGTCCGGTTGAGATCTTTCCAACACTGGCCTCGTTACGCGCCGGTCACGCCGGAAGATCTGGCCAACGCGGGGCTCTATTACCGAGGCGTGGAGGACGAAGTGGAGTGTTTTTGCTGCGGGGGGAAGATGAAAAACTGGGAACCGGGCGACCAGGGCTGGTCGGAACACCGTCGTCATTTCCCGAGATGCTTTTTCGTCCTCGGGCACGATGTTGGGAACGTGGCCCATCCGCCAGGGGACGGGCAGCAGGACAGAAGCAGCGCGCAACGGGTGCCTCCTCTTCCTCCTCCCCTTCACAACCCCTCCATGGCAGATTTTGCAAAGCGCCTCCAGACCTTTGGGGCGTGGAGTTACTCGGTGAACAAGGAGCGGCTTGCTCAAGCTGGCTTTTACAGTCTAGGTAAGTAGAGGACGGATTTTGCAGTGGGTTGGGTTCACACAATCTCAACCCCCCCTCCCCCCGCCAACTCCAACATACCGCCTTAGAAGTCTGTTGTGGCTTGCGGAGCTGGCAACAGAGTTGGATAGTGAGGAGGTTGGGGAGGAACACGGGCCAGTCCTGGGGGCTGAGGAAAGTTCAGACGAGGGCTCTGCGTTTGAGGCAGAGAGGGAGCTAGACAGCAGTGAGGCAGAGGAACAGCTGGAGCCTGTTCCCAGGGTGCGCATGCGCAGAGCTGCCAGAAGACAAGAACAACTAAGAAAACAGGGTCGGCTTGAGAGTAAAGCCACACCTTGGAGGTGATTGACCCCTCCCATAGCAAATAAAAGAGAAACGAATGGGGAGGGGGCTTTTGCAGGGAAGAATTTGTTCCTTCGGTCGTTTCAAGAGTGGAAAGTTCTGTTTGTGACTATAAGAGATTCTGCCAAGTTTTGCCTTGCCCTGTGTTGGGAAACGAGTTATTTGGCAGCTCTCCAAGCGAGATAAGGTTCGTGTTGATAAACATTCCTCTGAAAGACTGTTTGCCAAGCCTTGCTGACTGTGAATGAAAGGAATTCCCAGTCGTGTAAATAAAAGAGGGGCACAAATTCTGCTTCTTGCTTCCTAAGGAAGCCTGGGTCAGAACAGAATGATCTATTGTTTATTATGGTACAGGTAGTCCTTGACTTACAACGGTTCGTGAATGGTTCAAAGTTACAACGGCCCTGAAAAAAGTGACTTACGACCGTTTTTCACATCTACGACCGTTGCTGTGACAGTCATGTGATCAAAATTGAGACGCTTGGCCATGGCATGTACTTATGACGGTTGCAGTGTCCCGTGGTCCTCTTTTTGTGACCTTCTGACAATAAACTCAACAGGAAAGCCAGGCTCATTTAACAACTGCAGTGGTTCACTCAACAACTAAGGCAAGAAAGGTTGTGAAACGAGGCAAAATGTGCTTGAGTAGTGTCTCATTCAGCAACGGAAATATTGGGCTCAGTTTTCATAAGTAGAGGACTATCTTTTTTTCTTCTTTGGTTTGCATATTTAGTGTCTCACTCAGCAACGGAAATGTTGAGCTCAGTTTCCATAAGTAGAGGACTATCTCTTTTTCCTTCTTCTTTGGTTTGCGTATTTGTGTCGTCTTCTATGAGCTCCCATCGCGTCTTTTTCAAACAAGGATCTTTGGCTCATCGCTTCTCAGCAAACCAGGATGGTAAGCCGAGAACTAACCACAGCTCCTGGCTTGTTAAGAAGGATAAATCAAGAAGCGTCGTATGAAAAGTTGGCGCACGTAACCACGGAAATTTAGCCCTTCCAAGAGACGCCAACTGGGAATCATTTCCCAGCATGTGGCTGCCATCGCTCACGGTTCATCGTTACGCATCCTGGGTTGTTTCTAACAGTTCTTGATCTGAAAATAAGCTGCTGTTGATCATTTCGGCAAATGTTCAGCTGAAAGCGGTGTATTTTTGGGCTGTTAATCACAAGAGAATATCGTATGCGGCAGGGGTGGGTTTCAACCGGTTCGCGGCGGTCCCCGCGAACTGGTCGGCGAACCCGGAAGTAAGTAACTTCCGGGAACCCGCCCACCCACTCTCCTTATCGGTCTTTGAAGGCTTCTGTGCTTCCACGCAGGTGCATGGCACATACAGTGCCTGCGTGATTCTCCGTAAGCAGCTGGAGCATCGCGTAGGCGCTAAGACGCATGCGTGAATTGCACGCGTGCACGAGGAGGACGCCGGCCCCATTCCAACCGAACCGGTTGGAACGGGATTAGCAACCCACTACTGGTACGCGGAGTATTTGGGATAATTCATTGGAGCTAGGAGTCTTAAAAGGGTAGTGCATTTTCCCTCTTTCTTTCTTTCTTTCTTTCTTTCTTTCTTTCTTTCTTTCTTTCTTTCTTTCTTTCTTTCTTTCTTTCTTTCTGGCATTAATAGGTTTACACATTTAACATCTGTGCAAGACATCTTGCCTTCGAGCTGATCTTTCTAATCTCATTTGAGTTGAAATCTGCAGGGAGCTAAAAATAGGACCTGTTAGAACCGTTACGGCGAACCTATGGCACAATGCGCCACAGGTGGCATGCGGAGTCCTCTCTGCGGGCACGCAAGCTGTTGCCCCAGCTCAGCACATGGGTTTGCACGCCTCCCTCCGGCCAGCTGATTTTTGGGGTTCTGCTGCGCATGCGTGGAAGGTGGGGCACATGCGGGAGACGCTCGCATATGGGGGGGGTCGGGGGATCGCGCACGCATGCGTAGGCGTGCAAGGGGGGAGCAGTCTCACACACACACACACGCCCCGTTTTGGGGTCCAGAAGGCTTCAGGGAGTCCTCCTAGGCCCAAATGGGATGTGGGTGTCGCATGTGCAGGGCGGGGGGTGGGGGGGGTGCAAGGAGGTGTCACACACGCATTGCATTATGGATACGGCGTTCGGCACATGAGGACAAAAAGGTTAGCCATCACTGCCTTAGAAGATTAATCATAAAATTCAAACACCTTCCGGCACAGATTTGCAGTAAAAGATCGAGGATTTGTAAGTAGTGTGCAGGTAAATCCTTGATTTATGACCACCGGTGAGGCCCCAAATTTCCATGGCTAGGTGAAAACGTTCGTTGAATTTTGGTTTTCCCATTTTACAATCAGACTTGCTGCTGTTGTTCAGTGAATCACTGCAGTTGGGGACACGCTTGGGAAACGAATCTGGTTTTTCCGTTGACTTTTGCTTGTCAGAAGGTCGCAAAAGGGGATCCTCTAATGATAATAAGTGTGGAAAATGGTCATAAGTCACTTTTTAGACTGGCGGCGTAGCAATAGCAATAGCACTTAGACTTATATACTGCTTCACAGTGCTTTTACAGCCCTCTCTAAGCGGTNCTGTTGTCGCCCTATTGATGATGTCAGCGACGCGGTTTTGTCGGGCGCGGTTTTGTCCTTCGCCCTTTTGTCGGTGAACCATTTTATGGTACTACCCCGCCAAAAAACTGGTATTATTAGCCATCAAACCCCCCAAATACTGTACTTTTCCCAAAAGGTTTTCACAATTTTGGCCACTACTTGTGTAGTAACAGGGCTTATTGTGATTAGATTAGCGCACATTGCTTCATTATTCACACTATTTTCTTCCTTATCAATAAAAACTGCTAAAATAAGCCAAATGATTACCAACGAGCATGTTAGTGTTATGTGCAAACTAGTTACTTTGGATTGTTCTTGACTAACCTGTATATTTTGGGGCCTTTAAAAGGAAAATATTACAAAAATTCTGATTTGTATATCAATCAACCATAGATAGACTTGATAAAGAGTAAAAGCAGAAGAGAGGGTTCAAATTTACTTATTCATTCTAAGTCTTCATTTCTTAAGGATCCCGGCTTTGTGTGAGATGCAGTACAATTAATGCATTCTCCGAGGATTTTCTTTGCAGACTGAATTAAACTGGGGGATTCATTATTTCAGAACATGAGACAGCTAGCTTCATTTCTCAGTTGTAGGTGGAAATGAAAGAAAAAGTTCCCTTATTCTGAATTTTACAGTCATATCAATGTATATTGATATCAATGCATATAACACAACATTTTGATTCTGTTTTGGGGTTTTACTGGTAATACCTGCATTCATTTGGTATGTTTTTCCAAAGTTGCTATACGTTTCCTATGAACAGCAAAAGGCGGCTTAAAAGATATTTCGGTGAAATAGAAACTAGCTGGGATTTGAGCACATTAGCAGTCATTAGCTGTGACCCCTAATGTGTTCAACTGAAGGAGCCATGCTGGGCATGACAATAGCATACCGTAAAATAAATTAAAATAGATACATGGACAAAGCCTCCAGTCAGAGGAATGCAAGTTTTACCCGACGATACTGAACAGCAGAAACAGTCCTCACTGAACTCAACTGGACTTTGTTAGAACATTTTGGATTAAAAAAAAAATTATTTAAAGATGTTCTGGTCCCCAGTCCATGACCCTGATTTAAGGGATTTAACAGAATGACAGAGTTGGAAGGGACCTTGGAGGTCTTCTAGTCCAACCCCTTCCTCAAACAGGAAACTCTATAGCATTTCAGGCAAATGGGTGTCCAATCTCTTCTTGAAAACCTCCAACTGATTTTGCTAACTCCACTGTTGCGTTAAGACATACAGACAAACCATTACTCTTGAAATCTATGACTCACATTAAGAGAATGAGGCAAAGTATCCCTGAAAAGATTTAAAGGCAGGTAAAGATTAGAGGGGGTGGGAGAGAAAGGGGGGGGCTATATTAGCGCTTCATTTTTCTAAGAACATTTCAATAGATGGCTTTCCTTTCTGTGGATCTTTTTTCTGCACGTACGAAGACACCTTGGAAGTCAAAATAGGACAAAAGAATCAGAATCTAGCTAGAAGGGACCTTGGAGGTCTTCTATCCCAGCCCACCGTCCATGAAATTATACCATTTCAGATAGATACTGTCTAGTCTCTTCTTAAACACCTCCAGTAATGAAGAACCTACTTCTGGCGGCAAACTGTTGCACCGATTAACAAAATATCAGAGTTGGAAGCGACCTTGGAGGTCTTCTGGTCCAACCCTTTCCTCAAGCAGAAGACCCTATCCCACTTCAGACAAATGGTTATCCAGGGTCTTCTTAAAGCCTCCAGTGTTGGAGCATCCACAACTTCTGGTGGCAAGCTGTTCCACTGGTTCATTGTCCTCACTGTTAGGAAGTTTCCCCTGAATTCCAGGTTGCTTCTCTCCTTCTTTGAGTAGTTTCCATTCATTGTTTCTTATCTTGCCTTCTGGTGCTTTAATAAATAAATTGACCACCTCTTCTTTGTGGCAGGCCCTCAAATACTGGATTGCCGCCTTATCATGTCCCTCCTAGTCCTTCTTTTCTCTAGACTGGCCAAACCCAAATCCTGAAATGCCGTTGGGCTAAGAAGAAGCCCAAGTGACAGATATTTGACAAGTCTGGAAAAAGGAGAGGAGGGGAGGAGAGGGAGAGA